GGCAGAACAGTTTAGGTCATCAGTGGATTTCTTTATGTCCTTTTTAGAGGAACTCAAGGGATGGGAACCAGCATAAGGCACCTCTTCACCTCAAACATTCTGCCTGCTGCTTTGTACCTCCCTCCCACCTGGCTTATCCTCAGGCTGAGTTATGAGAGTCTTCCTCCACAGAAAGTCCACTTTCTAAGAAACATTTGGCTACTCAGCCTGAAAATGCTCATACTGCATGAATAGCTCTTAGAATGCATCTTCTTGTTCAACTGATCATGCTGACCAAGGCAAAGGAGACAAAGAAATGCTCTGTATTCAGGCTGAGAGCATCCATAATCATCAGTTCATGCCATGGGTCAGCTGTGTTTCTCTTGCTTATCCATTCTGAGATTGATGTGACAAAACAGTGCTACTAAAACAGATCTGTCACCTGCCCAATCTTCACATTTGTCCATGGTAGATGTATCTGCAAAATACTCATGTAATGACCTTTCTAGCATAATGCTCACAATCTGGAAGAGAGCAAAATCACTGCAAGCCACGTCATGAAGTATATCACTAGTCTTCACAGAACTGAGGGCCTTAAAGAAGTGAGACATGACTTCTTTCAAGGAGACATTAGCACTGAGAAGACTCTGTGAACTATGCTTACTTTGCCAGGAAATAGTTAAGTGCAGAGAGAATGAGAACAACAGAACAGACTGTTCATTTTGTGCAAAATCCACACCAAAATAAGTCCAAAACCTTGCCAGACCTACCTTGGAATTGACTAAGTCTGAATCTGGCTCTCACACAAACTAAGCCATGTGAAATGTGCTAGATCCTGCTAGTGTTGCAAACAGCTCCTGAACAAGGGTTAAAGTCAGAACGGACAAGTATGAGGTCACTTGCCTGAGTTGCAAGAGAAGATGGCTGTCATGGCAGGGGGCTGATCAAGAAAGGCAGAGCTCGGTATTTTTGAGGGTAACACCATTGCCAGTAGGTCACAAGTAATCTGGAAAGGCTTCTGTTGAAAGCTGAACACAGGACAGCACCCAGTCTGTCCAGATTTTACATAGAGAAGCTCCATCTCTCATGGAGACTTTGTGTCTGTGCTGAGGAAGCAGTGCACGACTCCTCACACGTCCCCTTTCAGTGTCTTCCACAGTTGAGGAAGAAAGTTTTTATACCCTGACCCATGACCTGATGGCTTTTAGATGACCAAAGCTTCCAAGAATCTGAAATACTGTTTTCTTCTTTATCAATGACAGTCAGTCTACGCATCTAGCCTGACTGCATGATGACGGGAATCATTTGATTTGGACCATAATGCAACACCACCTCTTGTCAGGGACAAAATTTGATCATACCACATTTGATGACACATGATGTTGTTCTCATTCACTGCCTCACAGATCTTAAAACCATCCTTTCCCATTAGTAAGGAGGATGTAAAGACATCTCTGCTCTACTTCTTTGCTTTCAACAGCCTGTTCTGCAACACTCCATGCCCATGACCTACTGCTCTAGGCCAGGTTTGCAGGCACACCCTATAAGAAGAGTGTGTCAGTGTCTTAGGTCCCAAGCACAAAAATATAATGGAGAGATACCATGTCTTCTGTCAGTGCACCCCAGGATCTTTGAAGGGAAAAGTGTAAATGTGTCCTGCTCTTTTGAAGGCATTAGACAAATTCAAAGGAAGAAGTGCTGCACAGATATACTGTATAGACTGACACATATTTACTCCAAGGCATGGACTGGTCTGGAAACCATGATGCAGAAAACTAACAGCCAAAAGACAGCCCTTCACCCATATCCCGCTTCTCTTACATGTTTTTAAGCCACTACTTTATGGCCTGAGCCAGGCAGAGCTTGTTAGGCAGGCCCTTGCAGCATCACAGTGTGCATGCTACAAAACAGACTGGGTCATAGCAAGAGGTAGATGAACCTTGCTGGAGATGCCAGCCAAAGGTACAGTCTGTTCTGTTTCACAAGCTTTAAAATTTTGGAGTCACTATACACAATTCTTGTATATGTTCCATCGGTCTACTCAAAAGTCCTGTGACAGACAGTATGTACACCCTGTCCTAAAGCACGGAACAGAGACATTCCATTTAGTATGCTGCACAGCTGACTGAAGTACCAGCATTTTACAAAATAGCTTATTCAGGAAAAAATTATGTATGTGTCACTGCTCTCTGCAATAAATGTAGAAAGTTTTATAGTGCATTTGATAAAAAACTTGACTTTGATTTGGGTTCTTTTATATCATTTAACTAAAATCTTATGTTCATGATTGCTTTCTACAATACACAATGCAAATGGAAAAGAAATATAGGGAAAATTAAATTGCTAGCAGAAAAAAAAAAAATAAAAATTACGCTAGAAGTAAAACAGATGGTTGGCACCTGGTGGTTCTGTATAGCCTTGGGTGACAGCTAAACTGTTCCTATGCTTGGAGAAGGAAAAAAGGGAAGGGAAACATACTTGTATCACTGTTGCCCTCATGCTATTTTATGCCTCTTGACGTTAGAGGGTCTGGGGTAACAAGCTGTGCCTAAACTGAAGGTTAGTCCTAGAGTTCTAGTTCCTCAACTGTCCGCGTGCCCCAACACTGCTGTCTTCCCATAGCCTGGAGGATGTTGTGCATACAGGCCAGATTACCACCATCACAGTGCCTAAGGATCAGGGCGGCTGAGCACACCACTGCACTTGCCACCCCCCAGCAAAGCCAGAGCACAACAGCAGCCTTTGCTGCTCTGTCCTGCAGTCAGCTTCTCAGAGAAGAAGAAATCAATCACAGTGTGGTCACTCCACTTATCTCCATGCCCTCCCGGGTTCTGAAACACATCTAATGTGGATCCATGCAAGGCACTGCATTATATATTGCTTTCTGAGCAAGGGGATGGTCCCTGCACAAGAGGCTCCTCTGCAGAGAAAATCTGTGTCCTCTCCAGATAACACTGCTGCAACGCTGTCTCCAGAGGACGAGGCTTCTGTAACACGGCCATATGGAGTCTCAGAAATAGGATGTCGGAGTTGTCAGTCAGCTACAATTCATCTTTTCCACAAAGCTATTGAGTGTGACAGTAAACACTCATCTTCAGCTAAGTCTGTTTTGAAAAATTACTTGAAGGCAAGCTGTTGAAAAACAGGCTGTTTCAAATGAGAACAGTGAGGCCAATGCCTGTGCTGATTTGCCTTAGGTTCGGATACAAGGTCACATAGTAGGAGAAATGAGGAGAAAAATCTGAATATACTGTATAATGGAATAATTTTAATAACAAAATTGCTCATTCTCATCTCTTATTCACATAGATTCTTTCAGCCAACCTAAAATCTAACCTCCTCCCTCCACAGGTTATCTTTAGCTTGCATTGGCAGTTGGTGATGTGTATACCACGTCTATGAAGTTAACTTTTTTGGTTGTCTCTCAGTCCGCCTGCAAAGAGGCTGCATCCACTCCCACAAACTGCCTGCAGCAAAGGTGCAGGAGAGGTCCAGGTTAGGAGTGATGCAGTAAGATTTGATATGGAACTCCTATGTCAGAAGCATGATCTTACATGCCATGATAGTAGGTTGGAAGGATGAGGCCCTACTGTCAAAAAGCACAACTGCAGGAAGGACATGGAGACCACTGGTACAGAAGAGGCTCCTCTCTTGTGTTGTATGCATAATGACTGCAATTCCAGTGCCTTTTACAATGGCTTTACTACTTCAGAAGTCCATGAGCAAGAACAGTGTTCAAAATTTGTCACCTCAGCCATCTAATGCTGTTTTTTCCGCATAAAAAAATGTCACTAGATGGATTAAGTGTCACAGTCTGGAAGAACACTTACAACATTCCAATTCAGGAACATCCACTATTTACTTATTTACTGAGCACTCACCACTCAACACAGTCGAATTATTTTCATGTAACCACGGAAAAATTAGCCTCTCTAGCTTGACTTCTGTAGGTAATACTGGAAACATTTATGAATAAGTGCTATAACCTGAGACCATCATCCTTGTAGTAGCATTCCTGTGACACTTGAGATAGATTTTATTGTGTCTGTTCAGCATGTTTTAAGCACCTTACCAGAGCCACTAGCCGAAAAGCATCCTCAGACAGACTTGACAGAAAAGTTATCTTTATAGTTCACATACTTAGTTGCTATAACTGCATAAACTACTTATAACATTCTTAATACTATAGCAATCAGTTCATTTACCATAGTTTTAGACCAGCATCCCAGAACCTCTCCCTCCTAGATCTGCAAACATCCTTGAAACACCTGGACACTAAGCATCTATTCTGCGTAAGTTTTAAGTCTACCTACTACTTCTTGACATGAACTTTTGATATTTAATAGAATTTTCAAACTCACAGAAGAATGCCCATCAGAGTGTTTCTAAGTAAAGCACTTAGAAGCAGCTATCTGTAAGATGTTAGCAATGCATCAAAATTTTAAAAGTGAATTGCTTCTTTAATCTGTTTCAAAAGAATTAATCCTACTTCAGAGTTCAACTATCTTAGGCGGTACACTCACAAATTCTGAAGGTTCGGGAATGGAAGTAGTCCAGAAGCACCATGAAAATTATTTCATTCACAAAAATACTTAGGAAATCCATGAATTTTGGAGGTAATAATGTCAGAAAGGATGCACATGCTCTCACCTGCTCTCTCTCTCTGAAATTCCCTCTCTGTTTAAGAGAGAAAAACATCCACTAGAATTCCAGACTTTTTCCACTCCCAACAGAGAGGACAGGATTGTCTAGAATTTATTTTATTTTTGAATTCCCAAAGAATATTCATATAAATCATTTACATAAGTGACTAGAAACACTAGGTAACTACAGATACATGACTTTGGAAATAACTTCTGACAAATGAGTATTTGAAAGTGTTGTGGTTAACAGCATTTTGTTCAAGTAAGATGCTTTTATAATTATGGTTTTAACTGATTATTGATAATTAACTATTGGTGTTTACAGGGAAAACATTCTGTATGAAAAATTATGATACGTTCAAAAAAAACAGTCATATCTGTTTCCACTGTGCAGTTTATTCAGTTTCAAATTAGAAAAAAAACCTACTAAGTATTTGACAATTCACATGCATAAACTCAAACATTTCAGCCCAAAAAAGTACTGATTTCTTTCAGTCTTGTAGTAAGGCGTTCAGGAGTTTCACCTAGGCAGACAAGTATCTAGATTTTTAAAAAAAGAACCAAGATTGAGGGACAAGCTATAACTTAGTTTTACTTCTGTTAACAAATCAATCAAAGTGAGTCCTGGTAGTATGCTGCTGCATTCTTTATCTTTTCACTTGTGTATAGCTGATAGGAGTCAAAGTGATTGGGAAAGAGTTATCTTCAGAAAAAGTTTTCTTCAACAGTGTCTTGATTTGGAGTGCTGAATAAGCCATTGTAATGTTATGTCTGCCGAGATAGATAAAACAAAATTAAAAACTCAACAGGCTATTTGCAGAGTGTAAAGCGACAACAGAACACCAGCAGGTTAATACAAATAAAAACCCTCAAACCAACACAACCCAGAAACCGCAGGTTCTCACACCTAATTAAAAATTCAGTATTTGAGACTACAAGTGAGCTTTTTTCCTGTTGTTTTTTGTTTGTTTTTAAATTATATGCATTTTGTATTCCTGAAATATAATAACTGACATCAAATTCTCTAAGCCACAGATGAAGAACTGTTGGAAGATCAATGATTTAAGATGACCATAAAATGACCTATAAAATCCAGACTGGAATGAAATGCAATGTGGGAACAAAGGCAGAAATACACAACCAGAAAGAAAAAGAATTACAAACATCTGACAAAGCATTAAGAAGCCATTTAGGTAGGTTGTAGAGAGTCCAAGGGCTCTGAAAGACATGCAACACTAGACTAAACTTTGGTAGCTGCAATTGGTACCCCTCCTGATACAATTTAATGCATTGGGCTGAAAACTGCAGCACTTCACAAACTGATTCATGAGCAGATTAAATGTTTTTGCCTCAAGCCAGTAACATCTGTCAGGGAGGTAGGAAGGTTGTCAGGGGGCAGAAATAGCTCTAGCCCTCAAATTTAAATTTGTTGTTACATCTATTCTAAATTCAAGACGGCACTTCGATGAGTATCTTGGCAGACCAGCTTTGGGCACTGAGACAAAACTATGATGCAGACAAAAGCATCCCACGGCATCTAAAACAAAGTTAATAACTATATGTTACTCTTCCACAGTTTCTCAAGACACAGAAACTGGCAGCCTTACACCACACCTCCTGGCAAGACCAGTTAGCTGGGCTGCAGTTTGCACTGAAAAATGACTATCATTTCATTCAACTGCATTGACATCAATCAAAAATGCAGAGGGAGAAGACAGCACCCATTCTTCCCCTTAACAGCCTAGTAGTTTCATCACTTTAATAAGCTAAATATATTTTCTTTATAGTTTTTCATTATAAATTATATTTTCCAGTCCTTTGATCTCCCTAGGTTCTTGCCCAACATCTTTGTTTCTCAAGGTCCTCCTCAAAATATGACACACAGTGCTCTAGTAATGCCCACACAGTGCCAAACACATGTGATATACACAGTCTGCTCCCATTTGTTATTTCTTTGGGCAAACATTCAGGAACCAGGTTACCCTTTCTAGGCACAATGTTACACTGGAAGATACCTGACTGATTCTCAAGTTAAGATTTGAGTATTTTTCATCACTACTCCCAGGACTTCTACAAGGCAAGTAATCTACATGGTTCTGCATTAGCAATCATTCTTTTCATTATTTTCCCATTTGCAAATTTTAGCATGCTTTTTCTGCATGTTTTTTCCTTCAGGTGATCCATACAAATGAACCAGGATCAAAAGCTACTTTCTCCAGGATCCTTTCAGAAATTAAGCTGGTTTTGCCAGTTTCTAGCCGTAACACCACTTTTGAGGTCCTCCACTGCCGATCTGATGAGGACCAAGCACTGTATTTCTAAAACCTCAATCACCTTCACTCCCCTTCACCTACACAGATAATACTGACTATGTTGTCTTCCTCAGTCCTTATTCCCCAGTCTGATCTTCCCCAGTATTTCCCTCACTCAGAAATAATTGCTGCACTCCAAGCTGCAGCAAACCTAGGTCTGGCCTCCTTCAAAGCAACATACCCAAATGCTGTACACCATTCCTAAGAGAAGCCCTCACTGCCTAACACATCCCTGCACACAGCTTGACATCTCCTCCAGGCTCCTGAAGCCCAGGTGTAATGGTATAGTCTCCTCACCACCTCCACTACCTGGTCCTCTGCCTGGGATGGAAATTTTCCCTGCTGCTGGGAGAAACTGGCTTTCCTCCAATCCCCTCACACTGTCTCTCATTCAGCTGAGCCCTACAGAGCTCTCTAGCTCTTCTAGTGAGTCTGGCTTCCTCAAGAAGCAGCTATAAATATCTAGCCAGGCTGTACCTCTCCTATCCAGCATCCCTTGTCTTAGCAGCCTGCAGGGAAGAAGGGTGGCACAGAGGCAAAATGCATGCACCCAGGCAACTGCTGCTGCTGGCTCAGTCTGTGCATTACCCCTCTCTCCCCTGTGAAGGGAAGGGGAGAACATGTTAAGAGGAAAGGGACAGGAAAGTGAAAGAAAGAGGGGACAGAGAGGAAAGGGCAAAAAGCAAAGAAAGATGGCAGACAATTCCATAGGTCCTCACTGACTTCAGGATACACTCTGTGTATCTCCAGCAAAACACTTAGCAAATTTTTTTAAGTATCACCTAATAATTGGAAGGCCTTCCTATTCAGTTCCTATTTTTTTTCAGAAATAACACAATTTTTGTGAGGGATTCATTTATTTGGGGGTTTAAATATGCTTTTTCAAGGCCCCATCAAATTAATTACTTAACTTCTCATGGAACTAAATAATTCTACAAGTGTCTTTTAAATTACCTATAATTCTATATATTAAAACAAATATTATTGCATGCAATATTTGCAACAAAAGTTTTCAATGTAAACTGAGATTTCTATGTTAGTTAGATATTCAAATCTCATTAAAATTTTTAACATCTGATGTAAAGTATGTATACATTGATGATGCTGTCAGAAAAAGCTTACCGATGTTATCCTTCTCTTTACAAGAAATAGAATAGCAACATATTTCTCTGTCTTGAATAGCCGCAAGGTTTCTACAGAAAAAAAACAAACCAGAACAAACCAAAAAAGTAGTGTTACAACTCCACAAAAACTGACAACAGAAATTTCCATTAAATTACATCTTTTCTGCTTTTTACTCAGTGGGTTCAATTCTATCCTCAGATATTGAATTTTTAAAATATGTTTGCTACTGCACACAAAAAAAACCCTGATGTTTCTTAAACTATAAGGATTAAAATGTTATAAAGCCATTTCACAAAAATTAAAATTTCTCATTAAGTCATAGTAATGTGTAATAGTGAATAATAAGACCAAAGAAATCCATGAGCTGAAAATAACATTTTGTAGTGGCAACCAAGTAACATTACCATGTCTTGGCATTTGCCTTTTACTCTTTTTCACTTAGAATTCACTCTGAATTCTTATAATCAAATAACAGTATTCAAATGGTCACACCATTAATCTTCAGGATTTTTATTATATCACACAAATATACCAGATCTCATTCCTACTGAAAGGACACCTCTACATTTAGGAAGAAACTGATTCTTAATTAACTTCTGTTTCTGGATATTTCCCTATCCCCATCAAGAATTTCTAAGTACTTTGTTTTTTCATTTTTTCATCCTCACACAAGTGACATGCTGAGACAGATTATGTTCCTGGAGCAGATGGGGAGTGGAAGGAAAGAGTCCTGAGGTCACATAAGAGACTCTCATATAAAGAAGGGAACTGAATAGTGACCTTCCTGGACTTCAGGAGAGCAGACTTGGCCCCTTCAGGGATCTGTTTGGGAGAGTACCATGGCATAAGGCTCTGTAGCGAAGAAGGGTACAAGAAAGCTAGTTAACAATCGAAGATCATCTCCAAGATCAAGAGCAGCCCATCCTAATGAATCTGGAAAAAAAGCCAGGAGGCATGAGTGGATGAATGACAAGCTCCCAGTAAAACCCAGTCAGAAAAAAGAAGCATACAGAAGATAGAAGCAGGGACAGGTAACCTGGGAGTAGTACAGAAACACTGTCCAAGCATGCAGAGACAAAGGTTGGACAGCCAAAGCCCAAGTAAAACTGGATCTCTTGAGGGATGTCAGAAGCAACAAGAAGGGCTTCTATAAATACCAAAGTGACAAATGGAAGACAAGGGAAAATGGGAGCCCATTCTTCAATGAAATGGAGGACCAGTCACAGAGGACATTTCCTTACACATGGAAGAGGCAGATGTACTGAACGCTGCCTCTGCCTCCATCCTCACTAGCAAGGTTAGCCTTCAGGAATCCCAGGCCCCAGAGACCACGGGGAAAGTCTCAAGCAAGGAAGTGGAACCTTTGATAGAAGAGGATCAGGTCAGGGATACATAAGCAAACTGGACATAAAGAATTTCATGGGTCCCGATGGAACACACCTACAAGTGATGAGGGAGCTGGCTGATGTCACTGTGAGGCCACTCTCGATAACCTTTGAACGATCATGACAACTGGGAGAACAATCATGGCCTGAAGAGTGGAGGAAAGCAAACATCACTCCTATCTTCAGAAAGAACAGGGATAAGAACCCAGGGAACTACACGATGGTCAGCCTCGCCCTGGTCCCTGGGAAGGTGATAGAGCAACCAATCTGGAAACCATTTCTACGCATGTGATGGACAAGAAGGTGATCAGTAGTCACCATGGATTCACAAAGGGGAAATCACGCTTAACCAACTCAGTAACCTTCCACAATGAAATCTACAGCTTGGTAGATGAGAGGAGAGCAGTGGATATTGTGTACCTTGACTTCAGTAAGGTTTCTGACTGTCTCCCATAATATCCTCATAGATAAGTTGAGGAAGTATGTGTTGGATGAGCAACGATGTGGATTGAAAACTGGTTGAACAGTCAGTCCCAGAGGGTGGCGATCAGTGGCACCAAGGCCAGTTGGAAGCCAGTAACTAGCAGTGTATCCCAGGGATCAATACTGGGTCCAATTCTGTTCAACATCTTCATGATGAATGAAGACCATAATAAAGGTATTTATAATGAATATATCAATATCTGTATAATGAGTGGCTGATGGGGCAAACCGTACCCTCAGCATGTTTGCTGATGACATAAAACTGGGAGGAGTGGCTGATAGACCACAGGCTGTGCTGCAATCCAGAGGGACCTCCACAGGCTGTAGAAATGGGTTGACAGGAACCTCATGCAGTTCAACACAGGGAAATCCAAAGGCCTGCCCCTGGGGTGGAACATCAGTACATGCTGGGGGCTGACTGTTTGTGAAAGCAGCTTTGCAGAAAAGGACCTGGGGATACTCGTGGACACCAAGTTGAACATGATCTAGTAGTGTGGCAAAAAAGGCTAATGGTATCCTGGGCTGCATTAGGAGTGTTGCCAGCCAGCTGAGGGAGGTGATCCTTCCCCTCTACTCAGCCTTGCTGAGGCCATACCTGGAGGGCTGTGTCCACTTCCAGGCTCCCAGTACATGAGGTATGTGGAGCTACTGGAGAGAGTCCCACTAAAATGATTAGGGGACTGGAACATCTCACATATTAGGAAAGGTTGAGAGCACTGGGACTGTTTAGCCTAGAAAAGAAAAGGCTCAGGGGGGATGTGATTAACATGTACAAGTATCTGAACGGAGGCTGTAAAGAAGATGAGGCCCAGTGACAGGACAAGAGGCACAAACTGAAACCCAGGAGGCCCCCTCTGAACATAAAAAAAGACCTTTTACCCCTGAGGGTGACTGAGCACTAGCACAGGTCGCCCAGAGGGGTTGCAGAGTCTCCATCCTAGGAGATACTCAAAAGTCATCTGGACATGGTCCAGGATAATCAGCTCTAGGTGGTTTTGCTTGAGCAGGTGGGTGACAAAATGACCTCCACAGGTCCCTTCCAACTTCAGCCATTCTGCAATTCTGTGTTTCCTAGGTCCCGGCGTAAATGCTTAGCTTTTGGAACATCCTTCTATACTGAAATCTCACTTTACTGAAACCTCACTTCACTTCACTTGCACCTCCTATGAGTAAAATTATGTGATTTGAGACAAAGAATCCTATTCTGCAAAATTATTTCTATACTGGCCATTTTTACAAAATTGTATTTTCCTTACAATTACCCTCACAATGCATCAACATGTTAGTTTCAGTAACCTATAAATATATGCTTTGGATATATACCAAAAATATCTGAATTGCTTTAATTTACAGACAGTAGTTTGAAATGGTTCTGTTCTAATATCATGCGAGCATTTAACTGCCACTACAATGTACTCTGAAATATGTAAGTGAGCCTACTGCTGTCTATAGTAGTTGGATCTTCATTGATGGGAAAACAGAATTATCTGAAACAACTTTATACAGCTGAAATAATAATCAAGAGAAATTAACATCTACTGCAGTCAGTTATCAGCCTAGATTACTATTTCAACTGTCAGAGTAGCTCAAAGTGGAGTATCTCAGAATGTAAAACAGAATCTGTTATAGCTGGTTATTGCCATAGGCTACCAACGATTTTCTCTTAATATCGATTTTCACTGTGTTTCAGCTTTTTACACAGGCCAGCTACTTACAATTTCTCAATTAACTGCTTTTCATCCAGTGCACCTGGGAGGTCTCTTTTATTTCCAAGGACTAACACCTGAAAGAAATCATTCATATTCATGTTAAATCCAGGAGCAATAAAAGTTTATTTTTGTCTTTAACCATTTGTTTGCATTATTTTGGATCTTGCAAACAAGTATTCAGAATGCAATAGCAGACATATTCAAAATGACCAATGAAGAAATTCCTCTCCTACCCAGGGTCAGATGCTTGATGCCCACCCTCTGAAAACTGGATCAAATTATTTCTGAGTGTATCAGTACCAGAAGTCTCCTCTGGAAGTGAATCTCTCCATTCCAGATGGCATTATGGGATGGTGTCAAGACTGCACTAAATTAATTCCTTTTCCATGCAACTAAACCTGAAGGACAGCATGCATCAGGTGCCCTAAAGCCACAACAGACATTCAATCCATAGGACCAGACTAAAGTTAATCAAAAGTAGGCCCCAGAAGTAGAGGCTCAGTCTTCAAGATCCAGACATGCTTCTCTCTACAGTTTTGCTTCCCTGCTTCTTAACGTTGACATACTAAACAGCCAGGCATTCAAAACATATATCACCCAACCACTAGCCAAATGCTGATTCCTGTCCCTCGTCTTTGAGCATACATGGTAGAAATCAGAAGGGCAGCCATTAGGAATTAAGTCTGAGAAATGCAGAAAATTTAATGAATAGATGCTGGAATTTAAAGAGTTCCTACACAATACTTAGGGCTTAAAGTGTAAATTAAGATCAGATGAATGGGTTGAGCACATTCTAACATAAAGTAAGAAATGGAAAGTTTTTCTAATTATGATTGCATTATTGTTTTCCAGATGCACTACAATTCCGAGTCAAGATTGTCCCATTATTTCCCATGAATCTGGAACACATTAAACTCATTACTTGCAGTATCAGATTAATAAAGCTACCTTAAAATCTGTAATGCCAAACCCTGAGTACAATAAATTGAAGGAAGATCAATAGTAGTTACTACCTATGAAATAAAAATAAGTAAAAAATACATTACTGCACCTTGGAAATTACTCTGCTGGTCAGGCTGAGCAATTGGAATGTGATATTATAACATACAAAGGGAAAGGAACTGAAATACTTCTGAAGATATGAGCAACCTATCATTTCAGGAAGGAAAAGTGCAAAGTATAACAGGATGTGAAAATAGTACAAAGGACAGACAATATCACTTGCCATGAACAGTGTGACTGTAGATTTCCGTAGGTTTTATTCAACATGTACTTAACAAAAAAAAATACAACAGTAACAGCAAACATTATAACAAGGAGAGTCACTTGAGAAATTTTCCTTCAAGAATGGATCTGTGAGAACTTTATTCTCACAATGATTTCATGTTGGCTGTCTGTCTACAAATTCTCAGATGACTTCGATCATTTCCACTGGCCAAATGTCCAAATATCTGCTTACAAAAAAGGGGCCAAGCAAAAGCCATCGTTGTAACTTCTTCCTTGTTTGTATGTATCATTGTTTTCTTTCTTATGATCAAAGATACACACTCTTGCTTGGTGATCTCAGAATCAAAGATCAATGCTAACCTGATTGATTCCTGCTAGCTCTAAATTGGCAGATTACAATAATTAAGCAACATTAGTCTCCTACTCCATAATTCTGCACTAGATTTTCAGCAGAATATACTGTTCTTTGACACTTCCTACTGGAGAACAAATGTGTATTTATGTTTATTCCATAGTTTAGTTGGAAAAACCAAAAAAGTCAAGAAAAATAAAAAGTCAGGACATAGAAAATGCAAGCTCCTCCCACAATCTCTGGAATGAGAAGACACTACTTGATGTTAGTGTTCTGACAGCTTTCTGAAAGACAAATCTCACATGCCTTAAGATACTGACAGAAACATATCTAGGTCACTGGTTCAAACCCAGTCAACAAGGGGACTGACTGGAAGTAATTACTGTCCGATAATGCCACATGTGAAAGCTATTTTTTTCCAAATCTATTCTGACATTTAGACTACAAAACATACAAAGACGCTGAAGCACTAATAAGATGTTGAGTACTCTGAAAAAAAAATCAAAATAATTTTTGCAAGAGAGCTCAATGTATCAAGGCTGCATCATATTTAAACTAGTATTTTCAAGAGCCCAGAGGAACAAATTCATGAGGATTTAGGCTACACTGTCTACATTCAGGTAAGAATAATAATCAGAATACTTACTGGAATTCCATGCAATTGTGGCTTATCTATCAAACTGTGTAGCTCATTCTTTGAAGCTTCAACTTTCTCTAAGTCTGCTGCATCCACCATGTAACTGCAATGGGAATATAGTTATTTATGGTATTGTCTATTACTTGAAGAAAGTTGCATTAAAACATCTGAAATGTGAAAAATGTGTTCAGATTGATAACAGCATTAAAACAGTCCTGAGCTATATAAGCCCTGCATTTATTAATACAGGAAGATAAACAATTAAATACAGGCAGTGGGCAAAAAGTGGCCTGGAACATGCAATTACTTAGATACTGAGTTGCTGGATGTTTAAAACACACTACTTTTATTGTGTTGCATCTTCTTATGTGATGCAGATGGACAGAAAGAAAAGCGTATCTATATTAATAATACATATTTTAAAATACATTTTCTGTGGGCACACATGAGAAAACTTACACAACTGCATTGACTCCTCTGCAATAACGCTCCCACATGCTTCGAAACCTTGGCTGCCCTCCAATGTCCCATACCTGGAAAAGGTAAGAACACCCCAACCCCAAAACATTTTTGAACTACACAGTACTAACAGAAGAGCTCTTACAAGCAGCATGCAGGTTGTGTTGACAATGCCTTAATGTAGGCAGCTTTTAAAGTGACCTTCCTCAAAAGACTGGTCTTCCCGGCCCCTTCCAGTCAATGAAGGTGGAAAGGCATGTTCACAGGGCAAGTCAGTCCTGTGACCTTAGCAGCTCCAAATGTCCATCTGGAGAACTACACCCTTTCCCACTCACTGCAAGAAAACCTCTTACTCAGATACCAAAGCAATTCTGAAAAAATACAGTCTAAAACCCAGAAAGAATAGCATCATTGTATGAAAAAAGTTATGAAGCTGCATTTTTTTATAGGGCTAGGGAGACCTGAGTTAAGAATGCATCAAGGCCTTCAGCTGGATAAAGATGGCTATTAAGTAAACAAAGAGTTGGTCGGAGAGCAGACTGAGTCCATGTAAACAACTATATAGTCTAGGAAGCTCCAATACCTCCAAAGCTCTCCTATCTGCTCATCAAATGTGCTTTAAAAGACACATGGATTAAATGATCAGAAGCAGAAAGAAAACAGTAGTGTAGGGTAGGCCTGAAGTGATTAATCAGTGAATCTTAAGGAAAGGAAGCTCAAATTCTGCATGGGATTTTATAAAGCTCCAATCCTGCAACTACTTATGCATGCTATTAGTGTCCGGCAATTCCACTGAACTCCTTATTAAAAGGCAGACACATTATTTCTCTGTAGAGGAGTTACTTGCTCTGCTTTGCTTGCAAAAATTCAGTATTTTTGGTGGATGACAATAATCTTGTTTTAAAACTGTTTCCAAGATCAAAATACCAAGGAAAGGATCTAAAATATGCAGGCAAGGGCCACGTGATGATGTAGCTCTTGCAGCTACATCCCAAGACAGTTGTGTTACAAGTTACACACCTATTAAAATAGTGATGAACATGGAAAAATAGGAGGAATTGATTTGTTCTTGTATCAAAGAGAAGTAATTATTTCTTATTTTAATCACATTTAGTTGTCAAAACAATAGGAACTGTATACCAAGATCTAGGAGGTATATCCATTACAGCACAAACTAAATTTGGAATTAACATATATAGAAGCAAAATTTTCTTGTTTTCATTTTTGTAAATCCAAATATAATAAACCAGCTGTGGCAACAAAGACTTGCACAAAAGAGCAAGACTCACAGACCCTTGGGATAAGGCCCTTTTCAACTAATGTGGACTATAATTTTAATTCCACAATCCATAAATCATACATATGTATCAATTTCTCTATCATTTTCAACACCTTTTGTTAATATTTTAGAAATAAATATATCCCAACTCAACATTAAAATCATGTTCTGATTAATATCTTACTGTTCCTTCTAGCATAAAATTAGTATATCATCTAAATGAAGATTGCTTTTGATCCCCTTTAGAAGATCAAGAATTTTACACATTAAAGACAGCTGAGTGAACTACTGACCATGAACTGGGTATCAATTATTATCTGCACTGACATTTGAAGCACTGTTTCAAAAGTCTTAATAAAATAAACTTTTTTTTTAAAAGCCTGAAAGAGATGAGTACATAGTTCAGCATTATAGTTAGATGACAAACCTCACACCAACACTAATTATTCCAATAACTCATCAGGACCTTGAAACTATCAGTAACCATCTGGTGCACATCTGTGTGTCTGGAAAAAGAAACCAAATTATTTTCTCGGTAGATCAGAGAAGAAAGAAAGAGAAAGAAGACAGGGAAGGCCAATAGTAATGTTAGATTTTTGGAAACTAACAACAATTATTCCTGGTAGCCAGAAAAATCTGTATGATGTAGCCTGGACTAATCACCAAATAAGTAATACAAGATAAAGAAATACTGTTTTTGTCCTTGATTGATGTTATGCTATATCTATACTATATTAAATTGCACTGCAGAACAAGTATTATTCTCATTAGCAGAAAGAATCACCTTGAAACAATGGGAAGGTAAGTCATTTCCAGTCAGTTTCCCTCATAAGGCTTACAGCTATTCATTAAAGTACAGCACGAAGGACACAAGATAGACTAGGTGTTTTTAATAGTGCTTGGGACCCCAGTTTACATCAATATATTTAGTTATAATTATCTGAAACAGGGAAAGAAAATAAATGCATTAAATAAAAAAAATCTTCACCTCTGCATATGAAATTAAAATGATGCTAGTAGTAACTTTCTAATATTCTTTATTATATTGAAAAGCCAATGACACAGTTAACTACTTTATTCAGAACACAAATCTCTGCCCCAATCCATTTGCACTGTAAATGACTGAACAGACAGAATTGTGAGAATACAGAGGCACCCAGGAAGGAAAGCAGAGAGGTGTTAGCATTAAGGAAGTTTTCTTGCCCTCCATGTTTTCTACATCACCTATTTTTGTACCTCAGTATTTAATACACAGGTAAACAGTATATTCTGGGTGTGAACTGGGAGAGGCAGGAGACTAAACCTTAACAGCAGAATATACAGCTAGCTATAAAAAGATTGTTTTGTCTGGGTAATTTTTAAAAAGAGACTGGACTTCAAATTGCTCTCATGGCTTTTGTTGCTCCCTCAGGAATAAATTTTTTGTAGTATTTAAGTGGTAATTTTATCTCTAGAAGACCAGCTGATATTAAGAATCTCAAAATGCATACAGAATGACCAAACCAGAGAAAGTTTCTTTGATGCACAGTACCGTTGCCTCAGAGATTAAAATCTCAAGGAGCTGTTGTTTAGGCTCAAAGGCATGTATCTTATTCCTACTTCAATTTATAAATCACTGTTTTCTTTGTTCCTCTCTAGACCTATAGAGTAGTAATTCTCATCATGCTTGCCCATCCACACTCTCATAAAACAATGCAATGTTTTAATCTGTAAACTAGATTAATCACTATACTTTGGAATCATCATTTATCATACCTGTTAAATCCAATTCTTCTAAAACAGGAATCTCTCTGGATACGCCTCTTGTTCAATTTTCATACTTCATGTGGCTCTAAAGCTCCTTCTTTAGACTGCAGCTATCAGCTATGTTTAAGGAGCAAATCTTTTTCTTTTGCACAAAGGTATCATGACAGTTGAGCAAAAATCCAGCTGGGGAATATGTTCAAAGGTCTTCAAAAGCTTTCAGTTGCAGGAAGGCTCATTAACACTCTAGTTGCATTTCTTTTAATTAGCTTATATAGTGGTAGGGCTTGACAGTAAGAAAGCTGCAGGAAGGGAAAAGTAGTATTTGCTAGATGTCAGTTTTACTTTTTTTTTTTTTTTCAGACATGCTGGGTAGGATATTTCTTGTGGACAGAGATGTGTACAATGACACATTTTTATCTCAATGTCAATTCATGGGTCCAGTACCTAAGATCTCACCATAGTCAGTGAAACCTAGACAGCTATTCAGCTGACCAGATATAACGTCTTCTTTAGGATGACAGAATTATCCTCTAGGCTTGATGGTACGGACTAGAGCTCCTCTGACTGTTATTAAAGAAGTTTAACCCTCACTGCAGACATATAGCTGTTTACACTTAAGCATCTTAACTTGCAGGCAGAATCCAACACTACAAATACCTGGACTCAGAAATATATCTTTCTGGTTAGTATTCAGAAAATACCAACCATAAAAACTAACCTGAACAAACAGGTGAGGAAATTCTAAACACAGAAAAGTATTTGGGCAGAATAAGGCAGCACCAGCAATGTCCAACACCATGTTCTACACAGACAAGTCCACATACACTGAAATAAGACTAATGAGCTCATGCACACACAGCAAGCACAGTCATAGCATTCACAGCCAACTCAATCTGTAATGACAGGGAGTAACTGGAAAGCATGGGATTTATTTCCCTCAATTTCTGCCATCTAAAATGCAGACATCTGATCCAAGTGATTAAAATTTATCTGTGGCTACTGAAGAGCTCAGAGAGCACCCACAGCAGGAAATAATTCCATCTGTTTTACCCACCTTGTCTACCAGGTGAACCATTCTTGCAAAGCACACACTGCTCTCCACTGAATTCAGACAACTGGCTCAGGCTGGCTTCCTCCTTTTCACCTTGCTAAGCTCAGGGGAGACAAATCCTAAGTAGTCACCTATTCTAGACTGCAATCTTCCAACAACTAATGTTCAGCTTCCCTATCTAATAAACTGGAATAATAAAAAGAGCTAAATCCAATAACCTTAAATTTTTTAATAAACTGCCTTGTGGATACAAAACTATAGATCCTTACTTGTAGTACCAGTCATGTAACCTATTATGGAAATCAGAAAACCTTACTACCTTAGAATAATTACTACCTATCTATTATCCTGTATTTTGGAAATGGCTTTACAGTTGCTCTTAAAGCTGAAAAAAATATGCCATATGGCTACATTTTCTGCAGGCAATACTTCCCAGATCACTGTGTTCTCTGAAATCAGTCTTTGTCCTTTAAAGAACCCTGTGGTTACTCTTTACTGATGATAAAGTCCAACTTTTAAACACTTTTGCAACTAGGTATATTATTTTAGACATGACAGACAAAAAAAAAAAAAAAAACCAAAACACTATATACACACTTCAAAGTTTATAATTATTTTATTTAATGATAGCACTTTCACTGAAGAACAGGAAATGGACTTAGATGGGCAACAAAAAATGGCTGAGGATGTTAATCTCCCCAAAAAAAGCCCAGAGGCTTTTTAATGGGAGGGGTTATTTCTCAATGACCACGGTATACCTGTCATTTTGTCAGAGACACAAGGTACAATGTTGAAAGGATCAACAGGTGGATTTTAAACATGACACAAAAGCAATGTCTGCTCTCAGAAAGTTTTCTGAGCCTCATGTTGCTTACCTCCACATTGTGTTCTAAGGCAGAAGAGTACCAGGAAACCCATCCTTAGAGAACCCATCCTTAGAGATAAGACTGTAATCCTCTCAGTTGAGACATAACACACCTCCAAACAGACAAAGCCAA